GTGGAAAGCGGAGGGAACACCGCATCCATCTCTTCTCTCTGGCAATATCTTTTGTGGAAAGTATGTGCTCACATCTCCCATAGGAGAGCCAGACAATGATCTGTGATGATAATTATCCATTGAATCGCAACTAATCTCCCAGAGAAAACTCTCTATATATCTCCGTTTGCCAGTCTGCCAGTCAGCCTGTCAGCCAGTCAGCCTGTCGGGGCGGGGGCTGTGTAAGTGTGTAAGTAGTGCCATCAATTACGGGCCACAATTACTGCCTCACACTGCACTACACAGCACTGCACTACTCGTAGGAGAAAGAGAAAATCTGTGTGTGTGTGTGTGTGTGTGTGTGTTTTGTTCCAAAAATAAAACCCCATTCGAAAGCGGAACTGTCTCCGATCCCAAGCCCAATCGCATCCCATTCCATCCAGTTCTGGCTGCCTGCTTTTCCCTTCCTGCCCGCCTGCCCGCCTGCCGACTGTCCCGCACATGGAAAATAAATTGCCAAACAAATATCAACATGACAAATTGATAAATTCATGTTATTATTCCACGGCTGGTGCCTGCCCTGCCCTGCTTTGTCCGACGGGCGAGCGGAGAGCATCTCACAGATATACTCGTATATACAGACGTATGAACAGGCCGCACTATGAGTAGTTTTTGGTATCGTTCTAGTCTCGCACTTTCACACATTAACCAAATGAAAATTCGGTGTTGACGGATTTGTTTTACTCATTTTCCCCCCACAATTTCCCCATTTTCCCATTCCCATTCCCAATCCCATTCCCACTGTATTTCATGGCGACAAATGAGCCAGGCGGTCGTCAGCAGCTGACAAAAACAACAAGTACCGAAGGAAACTCATGGATGCCAGTGGAAATGCCAGTGGAAATAGAAATGGAAATGGAGACATTGAGCACGTTGCTGCGGCATTTGTCAACGATTTCCATATGGCCAAGGCCTTCCTCCACTTCCCACCACATCTTATCCCCTTCATCTATTACTACAGAGATCTTCTATTGGAATTTTAATGATGCGCGAAATGTTAATTTTTCATCTCGATCTGCCACGATACGAGTACAAGTATCCTCCCATTCATCCATCCATCCTCCCATCCATCCATCCATCCACTTAATTATCCAGCAGCTGAGTCATCGCCAGTCATCCCGGTTGGCGGTTGGCTCTCAATTAACGCTGATCACCTCAATTGAGGCACGTCGCCGTTTGTCCGTTTGGCCAATTAAGGAGCCAACGCTGCTCCTACTCCCACTCCTCCCCTCTTTTATCTTTTTTTATTGTATTTCTTTTCCCTGCAACAGCAGTTGGCATTACATGTGGGCTGCCGCTGCTGCCGCTGCAGTTGTTGGCCACTCGTAATTCCCATTAATTGAGCGGAATGGATAGAGCGAATATTATGTTACACTGAGGTGAAGAAGCAACCAATTTTATGGGCTGTGCTGCATGCACCCTCCGCTCTGCACCGTTCCGGTTCCACCAGCAGCTTTTTTCGCGCTGGTCGCGTGTTTAATAATAATTTCTTTGGAATATGTTCCTATGTATGTTCGAGTATATGTTTATGGTAAGCGGTGGTCTAATTAAAATCAATTGCCTTAATTGAAAGTACAACAAAGCACAAAGTGCTGAAGTGCCGAAGTGCTGAAGTGCTGCCAAGGAATGGAACTCTCATCGGACACATGAAGGTAGCAATTTGATCGCTGGCATATTTATTTATTTTTTATTTATCTTCTCCTCCTCCTCCCCCGCCATAGCTTCGAGAGTGAATGGACTCGAGCGTACTGCCATAAATCAGTATCATTCGAAACAGCAGCATTTTTTGGGCTATTCAAATTGGCATAAATCTAGCATCGTCCGATACAAAGAACTATATATAACGAGTCCTAGTCCTATTCCTAGTCCAAGTCTGACTCCCAGTGCATGTTAATTTTTCAAAATGCCGCGACAGTTTCTGGTAATTGCAAACTTTTCTTTTGGCCGGGGCCCTAAACAAGTGCCATATATTATATTATTTGGCCTGCCACTTGATATATGGGGGCCGAGTCCAAACAAATGATAAATTCTCTTTATTCTTCCCACATTGGAGTGTCCTTCCTTGGCGGGCAGCAGGCACCCAGCCTGTCGCCAGATTCTGTACTCTATTCTGTTCTGTTCTGTTCCGCTTATCTTGGCCACAATTCATACTCGGCGACTCATCCAAATCTCTGGCACTTCATATGCAATTCTGTTCTGTTTATTGGCCTGCAAGTAGCAAGCCTTTTCTTTTCTTTTCTTTGGCTTTGCCTTTGCCTTTCCCTTCCCCACCCTTTCATTATTTCTCTGCCAATTTCCCTCTGGCTTGCATCGTAAATTATGTAAATTGTTGGCAGTTTAATTAGCTATCCACACTGTCAATCTGGTAGTGGGACTGGGAGTTATTTGTCATCCAATAAAAATACTTGCAACTATTCGCGTATTGTTTATCATAATTCTCAAGAAATTCAAGGGCTAGGCAGAAGAATAAAGGCTCTGCAGATTTGTGGTACACCTTCGAGATAAAATATCTGAGTCCCACCACAGAAATACAAGCCAAAAGGCGAATGCCAAGTGACATTAACATATTCCGTTTTAGTGAATATTTCAACTCGAACTTCGACCTCAATTATTGAAATGAAAGCGAAACGCGACTCATACCCTAAGCACTTTCCTTGCCGAAAAAACCCGGGTGGGTACCCATCACTACTCTAACCCCCGTCATAGAGGCAATTTATCGGGTGGGGATAAAAGTTAAACCGAACATTCGAACATACCTCAACTTTGAGCATTTTAAAATGGTTCAACGCACTTACGGGTATGAAAAGAACAAGCCAAATGTGCACATACTCGTTACGTTAAATGGGTTCACTTGCGTACACGATATACGGAATAGTGGAGAGCATTGTGTGCTACCCGCAGCATCATATGTGGAAAATGTACGACACAAGCAACAACAGCAGCAGCAGCGGCAGCAGGAGGAAAAAAAAAAGGAAAACAAATTTCAATTTAGCTTAAAGATTTTGCACATAAAATTTGTAACACTCAATTAGTTTAAACGACAACGGGAAAAATGTTGCCAGAACGAACACGAACCCTGGCAACCCTGGCTACCCTGGCGCACCCAGTGTGAGTGTGTGTGTGTGTGTCTTTTCCGCTTGTTGTTTTGGGTGTGTGTGTGTGTGTTTGTGTGTTTTCCCCGAAGTAAATCGCATAAATGCGGCGACGTATGAATTTCATTTAATATGATTAGTGGTGTGTGGACCTTTCATCCTCCAGGACTCACATGTGTACTGAAAGTCCTGAAAGACAAGTGCACTAATGGAGCACTGTGCTCTCATACGAGTGTATTGGGTCATAAAGATATTTACGCTGCATACTTGCGGGCGCTGTGGCATAAATCAAGCCAGTAAGAGAGATCATTACAATGTCAAAGAAAGGAAGAGAGAGAGAGAGAGAGAGTGAATGATGTGGATGAGAGGCTCGGCTCGTTGAAAGAGTGGAAAGGTGGTGAGAAATCAGTCAACCCTGCGGGATGAGCATCGAGAGTGTAATAGGGGGGGAGGGGAGGCCGAATATCCTATAGAAAATACTTAGAATGGCGAAATCAATTTAATTTCGCTAATGTAGTGTAATGCTGCCGCACTGCTCGCAACTGGGTCTTCGAAGCGGTGGCGATTAGCAGCAAATGCTCCATTCGATGCTGCTTACAACCCAAAGAAGAGAGGGGAGTGGTGGGTGGGTGGGTGGTTGGTTGGTGGCACCATCTGGACGAGGTGGGTCACTCAGTCAATCACTGGGACGACGACAAAATCTTTATTAATTCTGATCGATGGTGCAGCGCGCACCATGATTGTTGCAACAATCAAATGATGGAGCAGCGCTTACAACAAAAGCTCTCCGCACTCCGCATTCCGCACTCCGCACCACCCCCTGAGATGAAGGATTAGGAGGAGAGTAGCTCATACAAATTCGACAGCTGAAAGCGTTTCCGTTTCCGTTTTCTTGTCTTTGTTTGCCCTCCAAAACACACACACACTCAGCCCAATCCCAATCCCAATCCCAATCCTAGTCCCTGTCCCTGTCTCTATCTGTCTCTCTGTGCTTTTGTCTCAGTTCTCTCTCCTTCTGTACGGCTGTCCCTGTCCATCGATGATGCAATGAAGCGCGTTTATTTGTTGCTCGTAATTTATTTACTGCCCAACTCTCTGAACCCATTCTGGCCATTCTGTGTGTGTGTCCTGTGTGCAGAGAGTCCTGCCAACTTGTTGGTTAAATATTGCCAGAAGAGCTGGTCAGCCATCTACTGGCATTGCCATTGCCACTGCCACTGCCGCTGCCACTGCCGCCTGAGAGTGATAAATTAATCGCTACATCAGTTTTTAATTCCGTGTTGCTGCTGGTATGCGATATATCTCCAGCTCCACTTCCACTTCCATTTCCAGTGCTCGCTGCATTGTCTCTCGTGTGCCCCCGCAGCCAAATCCAAATCCCAGCAATCGGGGGCAAGGTTCCATGACTCTGCTCAACCTTTGCAGCAGTCAGCAGCCAGCAGCATCATTCTCTGTGTTGCAAGCACTGTTTAAAGATGATGTATGGCTAAAATTTTGACAAATGTACAAAAATGAGTCATGAGAGTTGCCGCGGTGTGGGGGCTGCTGCTCCTCCCATGCTCTGCACTAGTATTTACTGTTGACTTTTTCCATGTACTTTGGCATCGTTATCCATAAAACAAGCGCACAGAAAACTGCCACCGAAGATGGAGCTGCTGCACACATGTTTTTCCAGTCATTAATCATCTATGGGTTTACCTTGCCACACACACACACACACACACACACACACACACACACCGCACACACACAGATCTGCCACTGCCACAATGAAGTTCATGCTGAAAAGTTTATGCCCTAGAAAATTAATTCGAAGCATTCGAAGTGTGCATTGGGATTCCTTTCAGTGTCACTCGACCAAGAGACGAATTCCCTTTGCCACTTGCCAGTTCTACGTCTCTCGTAGACCTTTCAACAGCGTCTCGTTTATCGGGCTTTGGACAGCGTTTGGTTTTTTTTTTTTTACATATAATTTGCGATAACTTTTACGTGGTTCGGGCTTCCAAATCAAACAATGGCTAATCGCTCCTTTGACAATGGCAAGAACCAGAACCCCCCCCGAGACCGTGACCATGAGCGTGACCAAGACCGTGACCGTGAGTACAACAGAGAGTTCAATCGGGACTACAATCGCGAGCTGAGCAGAGACGTCACCAATCGCGACAATCGCGACACTGATCGTGGAAACAATCGTGGCAATTATCGCGCAAACAATCGAGACAACAATCGCAATCGGGACAACAATCGAGACGACAGGAACTATCGAAATTCGGACCGTGACCGCTACCGTGATCGGGATCGCAACCGTGACCGCAACAGCCAGAGGCCGGTGCCCACGGAGCCGCCGTTCAGCGCCTATGTGGGAAATCTGCCGCAGGGGCCTCGTGCAGGGCGATGTGATGAAGATATTCTCGGACTTTGAGGTGAAGAGCGTGCGGCTGATCAAGGACCGCGAGACGGACGAGTTCAAGGGCTATGGCTACGTGGAGTTCGAGACGTTGGAGCAGCTGGAGCGCGCCCTCGCGTGCAACGGGCGCATCAAGCTGGACAACTTCTCGGCTCCGCTGCGCATCGACATAGCCGACCATCGACGGCAGACGGGCGAAGGAGCCGCTGCAGGCGGAGGTGGACGTGGCGGCGGCGGCGGCGGAGGACATAACCAGTCCTCGGGCAGCCGCAACTACTACCAGAGACGCAACTATCGGCGCGACGACAGCGTCGGCTCCCACCAGATCCAGCGCCCCAGCCCGGACACCGACAGCCTGCGCGGCTCCCGAAGGCCGTCCTTCTCCAACAGCAGCCCCACCCACAGCACCTTGTCCCTGCGAAACGGCCAGCGGACATCGGGCGACAACAACAACCGCTCCGGTGGCTATGGCAGGAACGGGGGCCATCGCTACCAGACCCACGACAATGCCCCACGCAGTCGCAACAACAGCTCAGGCTTCCCCGTGTCCCGACCGTCCTCGGGCAGCATCCAATCGCGCAATCGCAACTTCAATCGGTAATCCACTGGATCGCAATTGTATATCCTCTTTAATGATAAATCCCTGCAGTTACCACAACAACGGCAGAGGAGGCGGCGGCGGCGGTGGACGCTCCCCGGATCGTCAGCGTTTCAACGGCAGCAACGGCAACGGCATGGGAAATGGTAATGGCAACGGAAACTACTCTCATTTTGTGCAGAATCGCAATCGGGATCGTCGTGGCCACTACAATCCCAACGGCGGTGGCGGGGGCGGGGGCAATGGGAACGGCAGCCTCCGTGGCAACAGTCCGACGACATCCATCCGATCCGTCAATCGCATTGACGACGACGATCGCCCGAAGCTGCTGCTGAAGCCGCGCACTGTGACGGACCCCATCAACGCCCTGGCCAACACCGAGCAGGCCTCGAAGATCTTCGGCAAGGCCAAGCCACGTCCCGACCTAGCCACGCCCACATGCTCGCCACGCCGGGAGGAAAAGGGCGGCACCAGCAGCGACTAACCCACCAGACCAGAACAGAGATCACCAAAGGAAGGCACCCCAAAAAACAGAAAATAATTCGGAAGAAATATCACAAAAGATTGAAGCAAACCCACCAAATCAACAGCAACAGAAACAGGCAACAAGCAGCAGGAAACAGGCAACAGGATTGATTGATCCCCTCCTCTTAACGTTCGTGTCAAAATGAAATATTGTTTAATTAAATCTTTATGTGCAGAGAAGAGATCTCTCCGGTGGAGAATTTTGTATGATTCAAGGAGATATTTCTAGAAGATTTAATTCTACTCATGGCTGAACTTTGGATGGATTTTCCCTCTCGGCAGATCACGCACAAATCGCTTTCTTTTGCAGCCTCAAAACACGAAAAGTTCTTTACCCAATTAGACATTATTCCGCAGCCTACTTATCAAGCATAAACCTCTACAATACGAGTATTATGCCACTCCTTTGGCAGCCGCAGCAGCACTTTGCTACGATGAGCCATAAATTTCAAAAGTTAATGCTCAGTGACACAAAATCCAGGAGAGGGAAAGGAGAGTGAATTCTATACAGGAATCGTGCCTGCCCCTGCCTGCCTGCCTGGCTGCCTGGTGGACATTCGCGGACACTTGCGAGCATTAACTAGTCAACTCGAACTAATTGAATTGAGATGAGATTAAAGAATTTTACGCCGAAATGAAGACATCGGCCAGTTGGCATTTGGCAGTCGGTGGTTGGGGCGCGAAACGTGGGCTTAGGGCAGCCAGGAGAGGACAGGACACTTGTCGTGGTATTTATGGGCCAAGATTTACGAGCCACAACACAAGGCATCCTCCTGGTCCTGGACCGCGGGTCTACAGGCAAATTGGCTTAATTTCTTTTTAATTTGCTTCCGCTGTGCGTTCGCTTCGGTTTTCCTTTCTTTGCGCGGCCTCTCGAAGTGAAATTCAATTTGAAAAAGTGGCCGACCAACCGACCGACCGACCCCGGGACACGTCTACGGCAGCGGATACGGAGGTGAACGAGGCGTGGCAGCGCCTTGTTTCCATTTAAATTTCTAGATGATATGCCTATACCAGAAGAGAGACCCATCCCCACCCCCTCCCCTGTGTTCCGTTCATTCCATCACCCATTCCAAAAGCCAATTTACGCACGAACATTTTTTCAATTTACGGCGGACAAACCGCAGGACCCCACTCTGCTGCTGCACTTTATAGAAATCCCGCGGAAAATTCACGGCATTAAAGGACTTTTCTTCCCCTTCCCCTCGCTCCCTTTCCCCTCCCAACCAACCCGCTTTCCTTTTATTTCTTTTGAAGTTCGCCCACTGGCCGCGAGTTTTATTTGCCTTTTTCTTAGCGCGCTTTTGCTCGGCTTTCACCCGCTTTTCCTCGCTTTTCATTCGGTTTCTTTTTTTCCCCCCGTTAATGTGTCACACGCACTTTATAAGCAATTGTTGTTGGAGTCCACGATGGCCATGGCCCATGGGCGATGGCGTCTGGGCAAAGTTGACGACGATGTCGACGCCCATGGCGCAATTATTATGATTATTAGGTACAGCTGCACTTCGTAGACGGAGACGTAGACGTAGAGTGAGACGTAGACGGGGGCCTCCTTCACTTATAAACAACAAAAAATTGTAATTTACCTTCTGGACTCGTGAGCGTGGACAAACTTTCGAGAGCTGCTGCTGTTTGTTGCTGTTGTCGTTCATTAGGGTGGACCCTGCCTGAACCTTCCATTCCGCTCATCCGTTCTCATGAGCACGGGACGCTGTGCACCGCCTTGGGGGTCACGCGTTAATAATCGCGCTGAATGACTCCATAATGAAAATATTAAAGGTGATTGCTGCTGCTTTTGCTTTTGCTGTTGCTGCTGTGCTCTTAGCCGGCGGGGCTTAGGGATCAGGCCACACCCGCCCGGAGTCCGGAGTCCAAGTCCTCATTGCCGTTGTCGTCATCTCACACAAAAGGCGCAAAGTTTATGTTTATGTCATGCCTCGGCATAAGGGGCAGAGGAGGGGAGGCGGAGTTAGATCCAGAAGTGGTGTATCGCGGGGGGGTATAATTTAATAATAATGCTCCTTTTTTTTCATTAAACGTAAGTGCAGGCGCAGGCAGGCAGGCAGGCAGGCAGGCAGGACTCAATGATGGCAGGTTGAAATGAGCTGCTGACTGGAACCTGCAAGGGGAGGGGTGGGTGGAGAGACATCCAGATCTGGAAACTACTTCTTTATATTTATTATTTATTTATATTCTGCAGAATCAAACTTGAACATTTACTCAGACATATTTTAGATACATCTTCCCCTTTATTTCCAAGAAATACTCAGCTTAAATCTAAACAAAACTATCACAGAATAATTCAAATGCCAAGAAGGGAAAGGAATGCGAGTGTGAGGAGGATTCCCCCTGAATCCCTGATTCCTTCTTAGCATTCAAGGCCAATAGTCAATATTTGGGAGATATCTGCAATCAAATTGTGTTTGCGCTTTCAACAGACCCAAAAAGAGCCCCGAAGAAACAATTAAAGCTGGACCACAGGACAACGCAGAGGAGATGGAGATGGAGAAGGAGCCCTGGAGTCCAGTAGTCCTGTAGTCATGTAGTCCGAACAGGGAGACCCAGAGTAATATTTTAAATGTAGTTTCGGGCTAATTGTCATGCTATCGACGGCGTCTTATCGGGGACGACAGTGGCCAAAACAATTTGGGGCAAATTTATGCAACACAAACGAGCTGAGAATGCCCCAAAGGGCTCGCACAGGACACACACACACACAGATCGGCTGATAAGCAGGACATATCCCCGACATATTAAGTCAAAAATGTGACTATTAAAATGCTAACATTTGCAAGTTTATCTTGGGACTGCTCTCCGCTATCGACAGCACAGGAGAGGCCTGGTCGGTACAGCAGCCAAAGAAGCAGGGAATGAGATGGGAATAGGAGGTGAGCGGAAATCTAGACATGGCCATTAATGAACGGTTGTCGGTTGTTGGTTGTCCACCGGCGACTAGGTCCAGGGGTCGTCCAGGGGTCCCAGGTCCCAGGTCCAGTCCCAGTACTACACTGGAGTCCATTAAAAAGGACTAAATGGCAATTAAACATTTGAGAGAGAGACAGAGAGAGGGCGAGAGCGAGAGCGCTGGCCGAGTGGGCTGGGGCAATTAAGGCTCCCTTCTGCACTCCGGCCAAGGACACTTGGCAATTAAGGCGGACGAAAAGTTGGCTCTGCTCGACTCTGCTCGGCTCTGCCAATCCCTTAGCGACAATTTCTGGACTAGAGAGTTCTCTGTGTGTGTGTGTGTGTCTCCGTCCAGCTCCGTCCCCAGTCCGGTGTACAGTGTCCACTGTCCTCTGTCCTCTGTCCTTATCCTTTTCACCTATCTCTCTGGCCGAAACTTAAATGAGTTTGAGTCTGTCTGCTGTTGTCTGTTCCTGTCTGCTGCCGCCTTCTGCGAGCATTTAAATGAGCCTCAGCTTTGGGCTGCGTCTGTTCGTTCCTGCCCCATCTTGTGCTGCAACTTTGATTGGCTGCTCCGTCGCTCGAGTGGCCAGGAGATTTATCTGCGGAGCCTCTGATTGCGCGTCCCGCACATAAATCCCTACCTAGGACACAGCAGGGAGGCGGCAGGGGCCACTCCCCCAATCGCATTGCTCGTAAAAATATTTGAAATGCCAGCAAGCGAGAGACTGAATGGGAGAGTGAGAGAGTGAGAGATGCACATGTGAGTAGCAGGGGGGGGGGACCCCACTACCGATGGACAGCCAGTCTATGTGGGAGAGTTTTCGGGGAATAAATCGGAAGCGGCATCTTCGATATGCTCGTTTAAAATAATTTATTGCACTGCCTTGACACTCATTGCCACCAGTTTCTAACTGGAACGCTGACACTCTGCCCACACACTCCACACACACACACACACACACATGGTCACACGGTCTGCCTGCCTGCCACCGAAAATGTCGAGCACCGACAACAAATGTCGAGCACTCGAGAGGCAGCAGCAGCCAGCAGCAACAAGAAGATAAATTGCGCAAATAGAAAAATGTTCTAATTAAAATTATGCACAAATATTTTAGATTTCCTTTCGTCGGGGGGGGGCATTCCCCTCTCCAGCACCCTGTACCGCTCTCTGTGTCGGTGTAGTATTGATGGGGTGCCAATTAAAATTGATTGGAAATTCCCAAGATTCCTCTGGCATTCCTCATGTGGCACGTGGGTCGCCTCGAGAGCGGCAGCTGCTCCTCCTTCATCCTTTCTGCGTGCGCATTAGCATACAGCATGTCCCTTCTTTTGAAGTAAGTAGTTCTCCCACAGACAGTCCACTGCTGTGTATCTGCATCTGTGTCTGCTGGCCTCGACTTTCTGCTTGACTGACTTTTGAATTGCCAAAACATAAAAAAAAAAACAGGGAAAGCAAAGCAAAGCAAATCTCAATTAACACTTTTGTAGAGTAAGCCATAAGCATCGCAGCAATCGGTGCTCGTACACTCTCGTATTCGATTCGAATGGAAGGGCAGAAATGCAGGCAGATGTCTAAATGCAGGCATTTAAGATCCACAGCCACGGCAAGCACAGCCCACCCCCTGCCAGTGCCAGTGCCAGTGCCAATGCCCGTGCCCTTGCCACACTAATGTAGCAAATAAAACGGTCACCTTAATGGATTTCTGTTACGCGGTCTAACTCCGAATTGGACAGAAGGTCCAGGAGGAAGACTCGCTGCACCGTCCTGAAGCGTGCTGTGCCATTGATTGTCCTTGAATCGCCGCCGTCGTTCGCCACTTAATCCAATAGTGCTGCACATGTTGAGCAGCTCTAACAATAGACTCTCTCCCTCCTGCGCTCTCCCTCTCTCTTTCTCTACCTTAAGCGGCTTTCACCTTGCCACCACCATCACCAACAACAGAGGCAACACAGAGGCACCACCACCAACTTTGGGCTTGATTTTCGCACTCGCATCTGATGGCACAGGGATCGAGGAATGAGGGTGGGCCGTGGGCCCAGGTCCATGCCAACTGTTGTGAAAACTGCTCGGAAACGTGTAGTTCGGCGCTTTCCAGGACTTATCACACACACGCACGACCGCACCATTGCACCACCGTCAGGCCACGTACCACGTACCACCTTTCGAACCCGTTTCTACGCGCTGCGAGTGTTGACTTTGCCCCCCCACCGCCCGTCTGACGCATTATGATGATGTATTAGTAGTGGAATTAAATTTAAAAGCACTGACATGC